GTGGCCCATTCCAGTCCATTTCAGTTCGCTGACCCCCAGAATGTCTATCTTTAGTCTTGACATCTCACCAATTATAACTGGCAAACCAGTAAAATCTGGTAAAAGATCCTCCACACCAGTTCACAATATTGGACCAACTTATGCACCCATTCCTCATTCACAAATCTACTCCTGTTTCACCATGCCAAAGATTTCTTGTTTTCAGTTTTCTGATCTAGAAGGACATAAATGGGTCTTTGTTGTTAAAATTGGAAATGTTGTTGAGCTACTGTAAATTACCTAGAAATAGTGGGCATACTTATGAGAATCAGAACAGGGGCTAATACACAAATCTTGAAAACCGACCTACTGATTACCTAAGAATTCTTGCACCGAGGAGTCCACATGTATAATCTTGGTATTTGATTTTGAAATAAAAATTATCATAATCAAATAGTAAGTCAATTTCTTATTATGAGAATTGCTAGACTTTTCTTGAAGCATCTGAGACTCAGAGAAGAAGGCGTAAGGGGGAAAGCAGCCAATTTCTAAGCTAGAAGCATATTCTATTAGTTCTTAAAACAAAGCACTGTACAACAAATAATGTTCTGTTAGGCTATATGTTCATTCCTTGCTTTATGCATTAGCTGTGCTTATTCTATGCCACACTTTTAAAGCCTTCTATTTTTATATTTTAAATCTATTAAGCAATGTCAACTTGAATTTCCTCTGAATAGTGCTGCAGGTTAGGTTTAAAAAAATAGGGCAGTACAATCTTTGAGGGCTAACATTTATGTCAGCTAATTAATATGGATCAGTTGAGTTTTGCAAATATCTTCTTTTTTTAAATGTTTGCGCATGTGTGAGTCACCAAAGCAGGCCTGATTCCTACCCACACAGATGACAATCACAAAACACCATTGACTTTTCATGAGAAGAAAATGAGACCTGCAGCTATTTAGCAGCCCTACCAGATAGGAACAATACAATTCAATACACAGCAGTGAATTCAAGCTTATTGTGGATGCATGCCGGACCACAGCAGGAGTCTTCTAGCAGAAGCAGAAAAATTCATTCGCATGTTTATATAGAAGTTAGCAAGTTTCATCTGTCTGGCTAATATTTTATGAATTACTGCATTATGAAGATCATGGCTACTTTATTCTAAATATTAATTGCCACAGGTCCTTCACTCCTTGCCCTCAAAGAACACATATTTTTTTTCTGTTATATGATAATGGATGTTCATTATATTCTGAGCCTCTGGCGATCTTAAGAGACTATACTTTCAGAAGCCAATTATTCATGGAAGAGGTTTTTCTTTCCTCAAACAGATTTTCAAAAAGATCCTCTATTCTACAGGTGAATAACTTTTTGAGGTTGGGACAGCTACATGGCTCCGCAAAAGATCCTCAAAAAGATCCTCTATTCCACACATGAGCAACTTTCTGAAGTTGGGACAGTTACGTAGCTCCGTAACATATCAGACACAGTGCCTCCTTGCTCCTGGGTCTGACATCTTGTTTCTCAGAAGACTTACCATCTTGACAGCCCACTATTAACATACTTCTGAGAAATAAGAGACATGCTATGTGTCCTATGTTCCTAAGCAAAATCAAAGGTATTTTTTGCCACAGAAACAGTTGCCAGGGGGGAAAGGTTCCACACGTAAGGCTAGTGTTTCTTACTCCCACATGATTTTCTAAAACAGTGCACTTAGGCTCTACCTTCTATGTACTTCAAAGTGATTTTTTCTAATTTCTTGAAAACTTCATTTTTCAGGCATTGATCTTGATACCATTAAGTGTAAGTCTAGCACCCATAGAAAATAATATTTAATAAGTCTTCTCACTGTCTGACAATACTATTGATCCCTTTGTCTACTCAACCAAAGACTTGAGAGAGGGAATGAACTGGCATTATGGTCCCTGAATTATATCTGAAAACTACACATGTTAAGGAATAAGTTGAATATAATGCTGTACATAAATTCTGTAATATTGCCCAGTTCATAGTCTCTAAGGCAGTTGTTCTCAACCTGTAGATCCCCAGATGTTTTGGTTTTCAACTCCCAGAAATCCTAACAGCTGGTAAACTGGCTGGGGTTTCTGTGAGTTGTAGGTCAAAACACCTGGGGAACCACAGGTTGAGAACCACTGCTTTAAGGAATTATCAAGAATTGAGAGACATGAAACATAAAATTAAAATCATACTGTATTTTATCCCAATGCCAGTGCATCTATTGATGAATAAAAGGTTTCCGTTTGACATCAAGTCTAGTTGTGTCCAACTCTGGGCAGTAGTGCTCATCTCCATTTCTAAGCTGAAGAGCCGGTGTTGTCCGTAGACACCTCCAAGATCATGTGGCCAGCATGATTGCATGGAGTACCATTACCTTCCTCCTGGAGTGGTGCCTATTGATCTACTCACATTTGCATGTTTTCAAACTGCTAGGTTGACAGAAGCTGGGGCTAACAGCGGGGGCTCATCCCGCTCCCCGGATTCGAACCACCAACCTTTCAATCAGCAAGTTAAGCTGCTCAGCAGTTTAACTCGCTGTGCCACCAGGGCTCCACTGATGAATATGATAAATATGAAATGCCTGAACATCTTGAGAAATAAAACACTATAATATCAATGGCTTTAAGTGTTCATTTCAAGTTGAATGTCTAGCTAAGCATTGGCACTACACTTTGTTTTGCATGTAAGCCACAAACAAAAAGCTTTTGTTATTGTTTGCCTTCACATCATTTCTGGGGCATGGTTACCCAAAGACAACTCTGTCGTGGGATTTTCTTGGTGAGATTTGTTCAGAAAGGTTTTGCATTTGCTCTTCTTTGAGATTGAGAGAGTTCAACTTGTCCACAGTTACAAAGGATGGCTGAGCACAGATTCAAACCCTAGTCTCTAAAGAGCCCAGCACTCCAAGCTCTACACATCTTCAAAGGAAAAGTCCTGGTACTCTCTATAATCATGATGCATATGGAAATGTTTGTATTTTGTATTACATCCAGCGAGTTATGACATTTTTATAACATCTAAATATATGAAGACAAGCTAGCAACTTACCTGCTCTCAGTGTTTCCATTTCAATGATATTCTTCTGGTAGAAAGTTCTAAAGCCCAGAGGGGTTGTGTCGCAATCTCCTGACAGCTTCTCAATAGCTTGCTTAAACATTTCCACCATGTCATATAGGACTCTGTCTAAATTGATTGTAGAAGGTGATGGTGTAGTCAGACTCAAGGATATGGCAACAGCTGTAGCGCAAGTTGGACGGGACTGCACAGCTTCACATTCAATTTGGCAGCTTTCCAATGACCTCATCAGCACAATCTTTTCCCTCTGCTGCTGCTCACTGACAACCGCAATGACATGCCATTCAATGGATGCAGCTCTAGGAAGGAATGGTACCACAACCACAGCTACCTCTCCACATGTTGCTGGATCGTTCGTGTCTTCATCTTCAGCCTAGAAATTAAAAATACCACTTTGAATTTTAGAAAGTTCTAGATTTTGCAAACGAGAGAGAGAGAGACAGAGACAGAGAGAGAGAGGGCACTTCACATGATGAGACAGGGCTTCACAACACTTCAAAATGGTAGGTTACATACTTGTGACCATCTTTCTTTGAGTGGTGCTCTATGAATTCATACATGTGGAGTGTCTGTGCCTACGCAGGCCCAATGGAAACTTCCCAAGTTTAAAACTTCCAAGTTTTGGTGGTTAACCCCACCCAGTCCCTCGGCAGGGCATAAAAAGCGCCCCATGCATACGCTCTGCAGTTCCTACGCTGCAAGGAAGCGAGAAAGGAGGAAGTTTGTAAGAGGGGAGGCTGGGCGGGTTTGTGTGAATTCACAGAGCACCACTCGAAGAAAGATGGTCACAGGTATGTAACCTACCATTTTTCTTCGTGGTCTCTGTGAATGCACACATGAGGAGACTAGCAAGCTAAGGTGCTGGAGGCGGGAAAGACAAACAGACTCTTTTTGAAGGACCAAAACATGATTTATTGAAAAAACCATCGACAATATGGACAATTCGTCCAATAATAACCATGGGGAGAAACTAACCCCAGGCCCAAAGGGTTGTAAGTTCAAGCGTGGACAGAAGCACAATCACATATAGTACAGGCACAAGTGCAAGTACCGACATTACATACCGAAATGTGGTGCCCATGGATTGGACAAAGTACCGAAAAGTCACAAGACATCAACAAAGAGCATGGTTTCGCAATGTTAATTATAAAAACATTGGCCACTCATAATAAAAACTGTTACAGAACATCAACAGTGAGAGATACAGCCCCGCAAGGGTAAGGTGGGCCCTGTGGCATTTGTATTCAAGAGGAATACATGACACCTGAAAGTATATTGACAGCTTTTGGGAACACCAGTAATATGGCCAACTGGATGGCTGCATCGAATGCGATACATGACACAAGGCATGCATGGGAAAAAAACATATACATGAACAAGACCAAGTATCAAGGAGAGCAAGAGGAGAGAACAGACCGACCAAAGGCTTTATCTTTCCTGGTTCTAGTGTCCAATCTGTAATGAGAGACAAGTCAATGGATTGGACCAAATAGCTGCTTTGCAGATAGACTCCAGAGGGATGCCCTTAAGGAAGGCAGTAGACGTTGCCATGGCCCTTGTTGATTGGGCACAGACCACTGGTGGGGGCGGGCGGTGAGCCAGTTCATAACACAGTTCAATAGTCAAAGCTATCCAATGAGAAAGTGTTGGTTTGTAATATATGTAATTTCTTTATGTTTGTGGGTAAACAGTATATCTTGCTGTTTCTTTGTCAGTGTTGATGTCGAGATTGTCTGATTTGCCTGCTCTGGAACATGCAACAAATCATTGTTCTTCTTTAGGGGTCCCTTTCAAATCTATGATACTATATCTGTCATATACATAATATATGTGTGTGTGGATCATATATATCTATCTATATCTATGGCTGGATGGCTCTTTGCCAGGAGGGCTTTGATGACGTTTTCTTACCCTGGTGAAGGGAGTTGGACTGGATGGCCTTAAGTATTTTCTGTTGGTCATGGGGGTTCTGTGTGGGAAGTCTGGCCCAATTCTATTGTTGGTGGTGTGCAGAATGCTCTTTGATTGTAGGTTAACTATAAATCTCAGTAACTACAACTCCCAAATGTCAAGGTTTATATTCCCCAAACACCACCAGTGTTCGCATTTGGTCATATTAAGTATTCATGCCAAGTATGGTCCAGATCTATCATTGTGTGAGTCCACAGTGCTCTCTGGATGTAGGTGAACTACAACTCCAAGACTCAAAGTCAATGCCCACTAAACCCTTCCAGTATTTTGGGCTGAACAGTGTGAAGAAATCATTCGAAATTTTAAAATCCAAACAGTGTACTGGGAATTCTTAAGTAGAAAACAAAATTCTCCTATATGTTCATGAATAATTAAGCTTTTGTTCAAACACATCAAACATTCTTCTACATCAACAATGTTTTCCTCCTTACTTTTTTTCTTTCTTTTTCGATAAAGGCCAAAAAGCCAAGCAATGGTAGTATTTATGACTGAGGCTGCCTTTGCCTGCATGTGAACTGGTAACAACTTTTTATGTACCAATTTGCTTACATTGCAGTTCAGAATAGTAAATACTGTACATTGTCTGACCTCTGAATGGAAAAATAATTACAAGTTAAAACAGTAATTTTACCTGAGGTCGATAAGGGCATAACACTCGCTCTGCTTTCAATTCACATGCTCAATTTTCATCCACTCTCTCTCGACTTGGAGAGGAAGGAATAATGATAGGGTACCGGCACTTTATTTCAAAATTCACTCACAAAGTTATTGACAAGCATTTTTCTTTCACAGAAAAGTCTCTGCTGCTTGACCCTCATGAGTTGTTTACATGAAAAATGCACTTACATCTAGATTAACGGTAGTGAAGTCTAATTCCACTCCAAAAACTAGTAGCAATTTCTTTAGCAAGTCTGTGTTTGATATGGGAACAAAAATAGGGATAATTTGCCTCAAATTGCAGTCACTTCAGTCATAATAAAATCTTGCTGAGTACTGTTTGCTTTCAGTACTTTCATTAGGTAAACTGGGACTGTTATTAAGGTACCAACACATAAATGTTATATTAGCACTTAGCAGTTGCACAGTAGTCTCCCTCCAGGAGATGAATTCTAACCTTGTCAATATAATTCTGTTTCTAGTACTGCAAAACAGTTTGAAAAGATGAATACTGGAGGTTTACAGTGGAGAAAAAAAGTCATGCTCATTCAGGCTTAAAGGCCACTTGGTTGGCCCAAGGTGCTGAGGTACTGTTTAGAAAATAAGTCTAAAAAAGCTGTCTCAGGTCAAGTCAAGCATTGAGACAAAACTTTCCTACTTTCTTGTACTTGTCTTAGGTTGTTAAATCAATTACTTTGTATTTCTGCTTGCCTTCAACTGCCATTTAGAATACGGCAAGAAATACAGAAGAATTAGGCCAAGGCAAAAGTACAATTTCAAACTCAACAAATGATCATCATTCCAAGTGAAAGATTGTGTGCTATGCACCCACATATTCATGCAAGCTCACATTTTACAGAGGCCTCAACCTTTAAAGTATGAGTTTGTGTGATGGAGCTTCCAGGAATTCCCCCCACCCCCCGCCTCCTTAACATAGCAGAAACTCTTACTCAAATGGCCTCCAACTCATTTTTTTAAAAACAGATAGGTTGGCTTTATAGAACATAAAAAAGAAGTTATTTCCAACCATTACTAGTAAGAGATTATTTCATTAACTGAACAATGTGGTTACAACACGGTATGGGATTCAAACCATTGTTTACAATCGCATTACTGAAGAAAAACTAAGTGAATGCTACTTATGTTACTGGCATTACATTGTCTTGAAAGGACAATGCTGTATGGTCAAAATCTTTCTTGTGTATCCTTTAGAATTAAAAATGTTATGCTCAGTGTGTCTGCGATGATACTGAATAAATTACGGAGAGACTGCAGCTCTGCAGGCTTATTCCATTCTGGTTTCTTGACCTTATACTATGTTGTAAAAATGATTCCTGATTCCAGTTAATTTTGAGATAATGATTCCCAATATGGCCTATATGGATTCCTGTGTTCATCCAGGCTTACAGACATGGGGATTTTTACAGATCAGACTGAATTTAGGCTGTACTTTTCTTTAGGAGTATCTTTAATCAATTTTGTTCCCTTCGAAAGATTCAACTATTTCCTGGAAGATAAAAACAGCCATGTTGGAGCAAATCAAAGGCCCATACAGTCCAAAACTTTGTTCTAACCATGGTTAGCAGGAGACCTCGGTGGCACAATGGGTTAAGCACTTGTGCAGTCAGGACTGGTCAATCAAAAGGTTGGTGGTTCAAATTGGGGGAGCAGGGTAAGCTCCTGTCTGTTGAGCTGTAGTTTCTCATGTGGGGAAATGAGAGAAGCCTCCCATAGAATGGTAAAACATCTATCACCCAGGTGTCCCCTGGGCAATGTCCTTGCACACCACCAATTCTCAAGTCGCTTCTGACACACACACACACCCAAAACAATGGTTAGACAATTGCCTATGGGAAGCTCAAAATAGGAGTGAAAAGAAACACTCCTCTTCTGATACCCCCCCCCCCCCAAACCCATGGAACAATACTCTCCGTGATTGTGGACATGATATACAGTGGGGCTTTGGTATCCACTGGAGTTTAGTTTTCAAATCTGTGGATGTTCAGGTCATAGTGGCAGAATAGAATAGAGTTCCTCTTATGAAATGGCAAAAGCCATGTTTGGTTTTTGGATTTTATTTGTGGGGGATACTTTCAAGAGATAGATCGTGCAATCTGTGGACACAGGATCCATGGATACAAACAGCCGGCTGTAAAGCAATATACTGGTCAGACTGTAAGCATTTATTCATTTGTTAAAATATTTATTACCAATTAGATCAAGGCAATGAGCAACAATTAAGAACATTGCTTTAAAACAGTTCAAAGTATTTTTTAAAATTTAAAAAGCCAATATTATTTGAGAGTTGGTTAAATACATGCTCAGTCCAAAACCTGGATTGAAGGGTAAAAGGCTGTGCAGAACAAGGCAGATAGTACAGAACTGTACAGCATGCACTTGATCATGTTCTGGACGTTCAATGAGGATGAAGCAAACGTATTGCTTTGAAAAATGTGTCTAAGGATCTCTGAAAAAATGTGTTTAAGGAACTCATCACATTAGATAAATTCCCCGTCTTACGACACTTCCTCGACGCAGCCAGCACAGAGCATACTGGATCTCATTCCACGATGCACATCTATTTTCAGCAGGGCTTAATGTTGGCTGCATTGAGGAAGTATGGTAGGTGGGGGAAACCTGAATATGGGAGACAACCCGTATTCAGGTAGAGAATTATGGGGACATCATGTAGCTTTATGGCATATGATAGGCAAGCAAGTGGTGCAGGCAATGTGAGGTGCCAGG